TCCATTTCGTAATCCATTCATTTCAATCTATTTATTCTACTCCGCTTATTCCAATCTTCTTATTCGAATCCGCCATTGTTTCTGCGAAAAGTCGCTGCGGACTTACTCGAGGACGATGGGATCAATGCGAAAAATCTCTGATACCAAAGAGATTCGATCGAGGGGAACTCAGCGCCGGTTCTGAAGGCGCGCCTCTGCCGAGGGAACTGGTCCTCGGTCTGAGTTACCAAGTCAGGCACCTTTCGATTGCGACCCTCATAATCGACGGATTCAACTTTTATCTATTTCTTAGAGCGTGACCGTTGGTGACGCGAGGTGTTGACCACACGTTGTAAATCACTCAAACCACGCCACCTGACGCTTGAAAGATCCATTTGCAGCAGCGCCTTGGCTAAAGACGGTACAGGAATCGCTGGTAGAGATTGTCGTCAAGCCTTGATTTTCTCGATGGAAGTCCGTGCTTGACGCGCGCGTGCTATATGACCAGCGAAAGAAATTCCGGACAAGAACTACTCGCATGAAGCTAGTTGGAGCGAACGCTTATTATTGCTCTCGTCGAGTTGAGACGAATCAGGGAGGTAAATGAACATCAATTGTGAGGCGAATCATTGTGGGTGTAAGTGTGTGCGATTCGATAGCGATAGCTCGAGAAATGTGACAGGAATCTCCTCGCGGTAAGAGGCGGGAATTTTTTTCCGGTAACATTCCTGTATCGACGACTCCACGCACCGTCGGAGTCGATCGAAGCTGTTGGGACTTGGGACGCAGTAGCGTGCTCCCCGGGCGGCACTATCAAGGGGGCGGCATTTCCGGGTTTGACATTAAAGAAACGGTTACATTCGTGGAAATTTTCGGAATTTCTCTCGAAAAATATTCGGACAGGGGGCGGCATTTTGCTTGATCGCGCCAAAAGACTCAAAATTTTCGTTAACCGCCCCGGGCACCGTGAAGGGGTTGCACGCCACTGTTGAGACGGTCTTGTCGGATACAATGATCGAGCATCACATGTGGAGAAATGTTCAATGAAAAGGGCCATAGAGCGAGACTATACGAGCCCAGAGCAATCTGATTCAATGAGAGTCTCTCCCCCTTAGGTCAGCTCATCTCAGCTCGATGCAGCGTCCCGAGGTATCTTTTCGAACCTTCACGGTCAGCAGGGAGGCTCAAATTCAGCATCCCGAGGACGGAGCTTTGATCACGCATCTTCGCATCGTTCCTGCTCGTCCTCCAACCGACACTTCCCTTCAAGAGAGCTTTCGGCGTTAGTCTGCCTAGTCCCGACCGAAGTCCTGTAGGGGCCGTCGAAATCAATTGACGAGCTTACAATTAGTGCGTCGCTCTCCCTCCAGACTCCTGAGCTTTTCAACAAACCCATCTGAACAGCTCGCTTCATTCATCCAAAATGAATACGAGACCAACGTCTATTCGAGTACGTAGACGACGTAGCTTTCCTTCATCGCTCGTCGATCCAGTCGATTCCCAAGAATCGTGGAGTTCCAGCTCTGGGCTCTCTGATCGAAGTCTTTGCAGGGAAGAGAATAATTATAGGTACAAGCTGTACTGCCATGGTCGATCGCGAATGGCCATCTCGAAGCTCGATTATTCGAATTTTGCTTATGCTACGGCGCGGCGTAGGTAGCGATATGCACGCGCAATCCGAATGGAGTACGCATCGCAGTGAACGCTCGAATATCCACTTCAATTTCATCGAGGTTTCGCAGTTCGATAATTAAGGGCGTTTTTCCTCCGAGGCTCCCACCAGAGTTCCCCTCGGAAGAGGAAGGAAGCATCCAGACGACTGAAAAGACCAATGTGTGAGCGGGCACGCGGACGAACAAACGGAAGAGCCGACCGCGTGGAAGGACGCACCGACTCGTACAGGAAACTCAACATTATTCATGCGTACGCGAGACCGCGTGCTGATGCGTGGCGCACACCGGATACTGATAATGCGTGCCTGATGAATGGAAGGCGCCCACGAAGCCGCTCGGCAGCCGTCGGTCGACAAGGACGACTTCCAGCAGCAGCTGCTGACAGATGGATCGACGCCACCAGCTGCTGGATGACAGAAGTTTACAGAGGCGCGAAAAAATGGAGAGCTCCCTGCTAACGAGAGCCTGCTACGACCTCTACGGAAGGCGGAATTCGATAAATAAGAACGAGCCATATTTCAATGGGCGCTCGATTCGATATCGACTTCTGGGCTTCTGGCCGAAGGCTGTCGAGCTCCCGTACTTGGGTTAGAGACGCGTGACGTCGGTTGTTGTGAGCTTCCCCGATCCCTGGATCCCGATTCCGGCTATAGAGGAAACCCGATGGGTGTCAAACGGAATCGGAGGCGTTGTGAATCGTGACTTCATCCGACCGTATATATGTATAGGAGGGGCTCGTCTTACACGAATCGATGCGCGGTACTGGACCTCACTCCCGAAATCCGCGGATGAATACCGACCGACGGAAAATTCGCGGTTTCACGTGGCGCGCTGAGTTTCGAGAAATCCGTACGATGAACGTTTCCGCAGTTTTAGTTGCCATCAAGGGAGAGTACAGGTGTGTTTCCACCGATTTCGATGATTCGATCAAGAGACTCGCCCAAACGGCGACCACTAGCAATCGGTTTTTGAATTGCCGACTATTCATCGCCGCACGTGTTTCATAAGCCTCTTCGACAGCTCCCTCTGCCTCCGAGGGTCGGGAGACGATGTACTCGGTGAGCAGCTTATTATCACGGCCATTCGTCTATCGAATAGCATCAAGGCTCGTACTCTGAACGGCCATTGATCTCCGAAGCGCGCGTTTTCGTACGGAACCATCAAAAGTGGCACCTTTCAATCATCTCGCCCTCCGTACGCGCTCCGAGCGATGGAACATAATGAGCTCACCATTATACGTCGACCCTCCACGATAATAATGATAATTTCTTCAAGAATATTGGAAATCCGACGAGGGCTTCCTTCGTATCCCTTTGATTACCGCAAGTCTACGGCAGGCACAAATGTGCGCTACTCTCCTTAATAAAATATGTATATTGCGTTGGCAACCAAGTTCAGGTGCACGCCTATCTCAAGTTGCAC